CCAGGGCTCGTCGGTGCTCATCCACCACTTCCTGCCCTGGGAAGAGGAGAGCGCGCTGATGGGAGCAGGCCGCGCGCCTGCAGTGCCCCAAAGCAAGGGCTGGAGCCCCTGCGCTTCCGGGACACACGGGGCGATGCACATCCTCCCTCCGTGCCTCCCCTCACCTAATGTTTCACTGTGCTTTCAGACAGAAATATATTATTTAGGAAACTGCAATGCTTTGTTTCCCTTTTTCCTCTTTTAAAATGTTTTTTAGAATTGACCCGATTTCTGGGTGGTTTTTTTTTACTTTCTAGAAGCTATGCTAGACAAGAGGAACTGTTACGTCTCCTCTGAAATTAAAGAGGACACGGATTCCGTTTTTCCTTAGCGTATTTGGACAATTCCTCTTTGGACTTCAACGCAGAGGAGCTTCCCTGCTTTGCAGTTGACTCCCCCACGGTTCGGGGTCCAACCAGTCCGTCCCACAAGCGCGTAGAGCCCTGCCAGCCCTTCCCCACGTACCGTGAGTGGGTGGTCGGCTGAGTCCAGGATCTCCTCCATGAGCTCGTTGGCGTACTCCAGCCGCTCCTGCAAGGCGTTCTTCTTCTTCAGCCCCGTGAGGTTGACAAGGTGGATCTTCAGCCAGTCGAGGCCCTTGGGCCCCAGTGGCCGTCCCTCCGCAAAGAGCAGGATGGCCCGGGTGACATCGTTACCCAGGTGGTTGAAGTACGGCGGGCAAGGGTAAGTCCTGCCTCGGAAGTCCATGTTGTGAGGAAACCAGAACACCTTGTCCCGGATGTAGTTGGCGATGGAGAGCTTGTAGAGCGCGTCCATGCGCAGGCTGTGCATTTCGGCCGCCTTCTTCCTGCACAGCAGCAGCTCGTGCTTCTGGGCCTTGCTCCAGCCAGAGATGCTGCCGGGAACGGCAGGAGGCTTGGGGGCCTCAGAGAGGGGCGGTGGGATGTCCAGCTTCTCGTTGCCTTTGTCATTGAAGATGGAAATGATGATGTCCAGCACTGGCTGGTTGATCTTCCAGGCGCAGTTGCCCAGCTGGTTGAGGGCGTCCAGCACGGGGTGGAGGTTCACGGGGGGACACTGCTCCAGCAGCAGACCCCATCCACGAAGCGCATCAGCTTCGTGTCGTTCAGGAGAAAGGCACCAAAATGAGGGGAGGTCCAGGGCACCGGTGGGCACAACATAGGTATGGCAGAGGAGTTGAAGGTCAGCATTGTCTCTGCAGCATCTGACACAATCTGGGAGAAGATGGGATGGGGCTTTACCAGCCCAATCTGGAGAAGAGAAGGTCAGCAGTAGAGGATTAGAGCTGGAGTCCAGAAGAGCACATGGTCAATCAGCCACTTCGTAACAATCACGCTAATTACTGACACTGCACAGAACCAGAGGCTCCTCAGAGCGTCTCTGAGCAGGAAAGGCAGCAGGGAGGGAAAAGGGCCTTGCGAAGGCCGGGCTCCGACAAGGAGCCCTCGGGACACGGCTCACCTGCCCGCTGCTGCGGAAGGAGTAGATGTGGTAGAGCACGGGGATGAGCTTGGACTCCAGGCGAGGATTGAGCAAGTTCCTGGGCACCTTGACAGCCTGCACCAGGAGCTGCAGCAGGTGCATGCCCAGCCGCAAGAGCAGCATGCACGGCCAGGTGCAGTCCTTCAGGTTCAGGGACGGCCCGAAGCCTGCTTCTGCCACCAGCTTCTCCCAGTACTCCCGGGGCAAGTACGTGTCCGGCTGGGAGGTGGGAGAACAAAACAGGGTCAGCTGGAGGGGCCAGAACAGACCTGTCTGTCGCCATGGGGCAGGGGGCAGATCCCCAGCACCGGGACCTCGTGCTTGCGAGGTGGTGACAGACAAACCGCCCTGTCCCCGCTCTGCTGCTCCACAACCCGCAGGCCCCCGGACCGTCCTGGGCCGCCCTACCTGGCTGTCCTTCGCCAGCAGGTGGATGTAGTCCTTGTAGACCTGCTGCACCTTCTCCAGCTGGCGGCTGCGCAGCTTCCTATGGGTGACGTATCGGTTGTAGACTTTAGAGCCCAGTTCCCTGGCCAGGACAGCCAGGGACTCTCCTTGGGGAGAGAGGGTGTTGAGGATCTGAGGAAGGGGAAGGCAAAGAGGGTCTTAAGGAGGGAGGAACAGACAGAGCAGAGAGACAAAGCGGCAGTTAAAGCCCCCGTGTGGAGAGCATGGAAAGATGCTGAGCAGATGCTGAGGAAGGAAACACGGCCAGGACAGAGCAGGGGCTTCTCGGGTGTGGTGAGGATCTGAGTAAGGGGAAGGCAAAGAGAGTCTTAAGGAGGTAGGAATAGACAGAGCAGAGAGACAAAGCGGCAGTTAAAGCCCCCGTGTGGAGAGCATGGAAAGATGCTGAGCAGATGCTGAGGAAGGAAACACGGCCAGGACAGAGCAGGGGCTTCTCGGGTCGCTCAGCGCAGGGAGCAGACAAAGCCTGCACCAAATAACCTGGGCAAACTTCTGTGATTCTGCTGGCCCCAGTGGGACATCAGCGCTTTGTGGCCGCCCCACGGCCATCCCGTTCCCACGGCTCTGCCCGGGCAGGGCAGGGTCCTACCTGCAGCATGATGCTCACGTACTCCTCCTCCGGCAGCAGGCACAGGTAGGGGTAGAGGCTGTTGTCTCTCGACACCGTCTTGGCCATGCTGTGCTTTGACTTCTGCAGCGCCTGGAGGATGGAGTCGTGCCACTGGGAGCGGAGGGTGGCCAGGAGCGTGCGCTGCAGGGGAATGGAAGCAGGACAGCGATGCTGTGGTGAGGGTGTCA